AAATCATATTCAAGGTAAACCACAAGGATTTCAGCAACAACTAGAAAAAAAGTCACTTTTTGAGGATCTAATTGTTCGGTTCATCACAAAGAATAAAACTACACTCCAAAATCAGTAGGCTTTTATAAAAAAAATTAGAAAATCATGTGGGGGCAGATAGCGACTGCATATGGATGGCAAAAAAAGGGTCGACAAACCAGATATTCGCGGGGCCCACCTCGAACGGGGCGAAGATTACCTGCTTAATCGGGTCTTTGGGTCGGGGATGAGGTAGGGGTAACGGGTACCCCGTCCCGTTAAAATTTTTGTTTTAGAATTCAATATTTTAAATAGAAAATTCTACGAAATTCCATTAAATCTAATAGAAAATGGAAACTAAGATTAATAAAAAAATATGACAAACAATAAAAGTTTTTGCTTACCAAATATATTTGAATAATTTAAAATTTTAAAAATAAATAAAAATTAAAAAATATATTATTATCTCACTTTAATGAATGTGGATAATAAAATGAATTATCAAAAACTTTAAAAAATAAAAATAAACGGGGTAGCGCCCCACCCCGTCCTGTCTTAAATAGGTAACGGGGCGGGAAATTGCCCGGTGGGGTAGGGGATGGGGGAGGTTGCTCCAATCCCGACCCGACCCGACCCGCCTCGTTGCCATCCCGACGACTGCGTTGCACAATAGAACACAGGGTACCCCATCAAGCGACACAAAAAAGAAACTACAGTAATAGGTTTCAGCTATCACAACCATAAACGACGATGCGGTTGACATTCCATCAATCAAAGCCATTATCCTTGTCTGAGCTTATGTATCACCTATTAAATTTTTGCAAAAGCTTCGAAAGTAGCCAAAAGCATTTTTGACAATGAAAACTTTTAGGCAGAGAGGAAAGACCTTTCGAACAGACTCTTATTTACAATTTGGAGGGGACAATGAGCTTATAGTTGTAAATTAAACTCAAATATAGTAAGTGATAAGTTCCCTCAATGCTAAACTTGCACTATATAAACAAAACATTTTTACCAGTTTTCCTATATGGGATAAATGTAAAACAATTTCATCAAATTCTTCGCTTTATCTAGTTTCAGGTGGGTAACTTCGGATGCAAAACAAATAAATAAATCATGATAATCATCTCGCGGGGGTAAAACAAAATTATACATGATCCCATTAATTTCGAAGTACAAATCTGACTTAATTTTGAGCTCAAAATTTCCAAATTTATAAATTACAAACCATTTCCATCAAGTATTAGTCTTGAAAGGCATCAACCCTAATTAGCTAAATCCTTGTGTAATTGTTAGGAGTTAAGGCTCAAACGTTTCCCTCCATTGTACATAAATTTTCACAACATATACGCGAGGTAGGGACCGAAGCCTTGAAAACCCTTTCTTAGGAGTAAGTGATTATTATTATTATTATTATTTTTAAATTTTTTTAAGTGATTTTTCTTAAATTTTTTTTTTCTTTTAAAAGGTCAAGATTTAGGAGTTCATTTTCATGTCAACATTACCACTTTTACCCTTAGAATTCTGCCTAGCAGCCAAAAATCAAGTTTTTGCTTTTAGAGAGATTTTACCTCAAGACGCAAAATCCCATTTCATTTAATTGCATAAAACTCCTGATTTTCTATGTGGAATTTAATAAATTTTAAAATTTATTTGAATTGAATTTACGTAAGAAAATTGTTTTGAGATTGTTTTTTGTCTAAAACCCTTTTCTCAAATGCTTAATGAACAATGAGTAACGTTATTCATAGTGAAGACAATCGATAATTGTCCTACTGTTGTCATACAAAAGTGTAGCCCAAAGAATGAAACCCAAGGAATGAAGCCCAATTAAGAAGTCCAGGAATGAAGCTCACAAACAATGTAACATCATCGCCCAAACCTGTAAAACGCCCAGAATCTAAGCGAATTAAGTGCTTTATCGTCGCCCAGAGCGATGGACCCGTCATCTCCCCAAATTGTTGAGTCGCCCTGGATCTTAGTTAAGATAACGTCTTGTTGTTATCTAAAGCAGCGGTTTCGAACAGTTTGAGTACATCGTGTCACGCCCCCACGATCTAGGAATTTCAATGGTAAGGAGTTATGTAAAAAGTATAGTGGCAATAGTTACGAACAGTAGTTTTCGACAAGTTGGCCATGATGAAGAAATTGGGCGGTTACAAGCAGTTTCCAAACGGTTGAAAGATGTCCAAGAAGTATAAAAAAAAAAGAAGACAATGAAGAAGGGACAGAACAAATCACTCTCAAACAGAGAATATGAAATTTATTTTTCTTAGATTAACTTTAATTCATCATTTTCTTGTACTCGTGTGCTTGCACCCCTTAGAGGCATTCTGTTTATCTTCAATTGTAATCTTCATCAATAAACACCCATTTTTGGGACTTTATCTCAAGAGATTTGTTCCTTACACAATCGTCCGATCCCTTTTTAATTGTTAGCGACTACCCGCGCAAAACAATTTGGCACGCCCAGTGGGACAATTGGTGTTTGAAGATACAAAAAGAAAAATGCGTTATGCCTCATAAAAGTTCGGATAAGGAACCAGCAAGTCAAGGAGTAGTCCACTCTGTGATCGAGAGATATGATGAGCAACAAGTTTCTCCACGAACAGAAGGACGAAGTCAGAGTAGTCAAAGTCGTTACGAGCCAATGACAAAATTGAGTCCTTGAACCATGCGTGCCTTGCTCGGGGAACTCACACAGGATGTTGTTGAGCAGGTAAATCTTCGAAACATTCATAATATGGAAAAATTTATTCAATGTGGTAATACATATTACGACAACATGGCCAAACAACTGAGCTCGTTAAATGAAGTCATGAATAAGCAGTATAAATGCCCTGCATGCTTGAATAAGATTCAGTGATTCTCTTGTCAAACTTTGGGCAACATTAGAAATTAACATACAAGGGAATATAGTGTCGCCCAAAGGAGGGAGGTTTACCAAGGCTCCTATATCCCTTAAAGTAATGGACATTGGGCCAAGGGGAAATACGAACGTATTATACTCAGAGGACCAGAAGCTCAGTGCAATTGGAAAAAGCATTGAATCATAAATTGGGGGTTGGAGTGTAATTTTCAATAAATCTGAAATTCTTGCACGATCAAAAAGTGCTTTGGTGGGGCCATGTTTTACTAAACGTGCATACCAAAAATGGAAAGTAGAGTCAGTTTTGGGCCAAGTACGGATACCTAGTTCTTGGATTGACTTCAGTGCCATTGAGTTCAGGAAGGAAGGATCTTCAGTGCAAGGGAACAGCTGACCCATCGCCGCCTTCTTTATAGATTCAAATCATTAAACAACGGACCTAGATAAAATTCGTGGAGGTCTAGATTGGCTTGTGAAAGGAAAGATGGATTTACATATGATCGGGTAAGGAAGTTTTGGAAATCCTCAAAACTGAAAGAGTTATTGGACAGAGATGATGAAGTCGCCATTGGATGTCAAGTACAGTTGTTGTGAAGAACTCTGGAGAAGCGTAGTAAGGAAGCAAGACGGATAACAGTGGTTTTATGGAGAAGCACAATGTAAGGACGTTATAGGCTAATGGTACGACGAAATGACGTGTCTTCTGGGATTATAAGGGTTTGAAGCGTTGCACTTTTTCAGGCAATAGAATGAAACGATGATTGAAACTCTTGGGAATTTCAAATGTTGCTAAAAAATACACAGGTGAATATGGCAAAAATTAATAATCGATATTAATTCTGCCATATTAGGAGTAATTGTTGACATATAAAAGTGTAGTCCAAAGATTGAAGCCCAATTAAGAGGCATAGTGGCAATATTTATGAACAGTAGTTTTCGACAAGTTGACCATGACGAAGAAAGTGGGCGGTTACAAGCAGTTTCCAAACGGTTGAAAACTGTCCAAAAAGTATAAAAGAAAAAAGAAGACAATGAAGAAAGGACCGAACAAATCACTCTCAAATAGAAAATATGTAATTTATTTTTCTTAGATTAACTTTAATTCATCATTTTCTTGTACTCGTATGTTTGCGCTCCTTGTAGGTATNACTCGTATGTTTGCGCTCCCTGTAGGTATCTTGTTTATCTCCAATTGTAATTTTCATCAATAAACACCCATTTTTAGGACTTTGTCTCAAGATGTTTGTTCCTTACACAATCGTCTGATCCCTTTTTAATTGTTAGCGACTACCCGCGCGAAACACCTACGTATGATATACATGACAATTTGTTATTTGATATATTCATGTGGTAGTTTTTTATTGTCTCATGCGCCAAATGACAAACTGCCGTATATATGCCATGTAGGGTAATCACTGATAGTTTTCACTATAATTATCATTATTCATGAAGAATTGCCGTCTTTCAAGTTTTTCTTTGATTAAAATATCATTATCCTTTTGCCGAATGCACAAATTATTTTACACTCATCTAAAAATAACTTCTCATTCATCACGCTATTTTTTTTTACTATCCCTCTTTTCCAAATGTACGGTCAATTAGTTATAAATTCACAAAATATAAAGTATATTTTAGTGATTTGTGAAAAATGATTTTTTTTGTAAAATGTTAAATTAAAAAGAAAAAAAAAATTAACGAGATTATTTTATTGGAGAATGTGTATTCAAAATGAGTTTGATGAAAGTGATTTTGAAAATATCTGTGTATTCATTTTGAAATTTTGAAGTCTTCTATAAAAATCAACGAACCTTTATTGACTTTTAACTTTTTACGGAATCATTAAAGATTTTAATCCGCCCTCCAAAATACTTTGAAAAATACATTTAAAATTTTTTAAATCTCTAAAAAATATTTAAAAAGTCGAAATTAAATACACCCTAAATCAAACGAGTGCTAAATGTAAGTAATTTTTGAGTTCGGCTTTTTAATCCAAATCCAAACTACCATCTAACACCCACTGCTACGTGTAATCGTGTATATATCCAAACAGATCTCTTGCCTACAAATTTCTGTCAGTCCATGCCTCAATCGAAGAAATTCTCCAGCTGAAACGATGTTTTCTAACAATTCCTCATCTAGCCCCAATTCCACCATCGATGTAACCCCGTTAATGGGGGAGCATGTGTTTCGCACGCGCCACCGCTTTCTGCGCAGTCCGCCGAGCCTACGCACTGCGGCTCGCTTCCTCCGGCGCGCCAGCAGCCGGAACCCCACCATGCGCGAGCCGTCTGTCCGAGTTCGCGAGGCTGCGGCCGATCAACTCGAGGAGCGTCAGAGCGACTGGGCATACTCTAAGCCTATAGTAGTACTGGACCTAATATGGAACCTAGCGTTTGTGATTGTTTCGATTTCTGTGCTGATCATGAGCAGGAAAGAGTCTCCGTCTATGCCTATAAGGCTATGGATTGTTGGCTATGCTCTTCAGTGCGTGCTACACATGGCGTGTGTGTGTGTGGAGTATAAGAAGAGGTATGTGCAGCGGAATCTCGAAGGAAGCTCGAGGGATGGGGTTAGGTACAGTCGGAATTACTCGAATTCTAGCTCCGAAAGTGATGATGGAGAGGATGAGGATTATGATTCCGAGCGCCGGCAGGATAACGAGGAAACTAGGTAAAAAGTTTGCATATGTGTATACCTTAAGTTTTTCTATTAGATATTTCTCACTCATCCGCATATTGAATGTTATTTTGCGTCGACATGTTTTGAAATGTATTGGTTATAGGATTACTTTATGTTTTAAAGTGGTATTTTTGGTAGATTTTGTTATTGTGCTAATAATTTACCCGCAGCTACGTACATTGATATTGATATATTCATATTAGGTTACTTAGTAATTCATATAATGTCTACTGTTGTGGATTGGAAATGGGAGTATATGCTTGAATTGACTTATTGTACACTTACCCACCCCACATACATATATACGCAGACTATTTGAATTGGGCTATGGACATATCCTGCTGAAATTGTTGTTGTATAAGGTAAGGTATACAACTAAAAGTCTGATCTCTTGTATAGCAGCTGCAGACTACAGTAGCAAATTCAGTATCGAAAGTAAGTGATTGTTCTTGTTGCATGATTAGACTGTGCAATTTACTGAAAGAAATCGTTGAAGTGTTGGAGGCATGAAAGGCAGGGCTATGATATATCAATAGCTTAACAAATGTAATAATCATTGCTTCTGCAAGGCTAGTTAATCGCATTTAATGTAATGACCTTCATCTTGTAGGTTTGTCTAAAGAAAACCATTTTACTCATGATTTCCTTTCACAATGTGCCGTTGACTGAAAGATTATATACATGCCATGCTTGTTGAAAAGTATAATTCTGTAGCCTGTCATTTTCCACCCACTAGAGTGATCCTCAGTTATTATATTTGTATCAACAACAGGACCTCAGATTGCCTTTAAAGTATTCAGTAATTTTATGATTTTGAAATAGAAAAATTGATATGTATAACGATCTCATGCAGTTTAATTTTTGCAGTGTCTTTAAACATCTGGAGTCGGCAAATACAGTGTTCTCGTTCATTTGGTGGTTATTTGGGTTCTATTGGGTATCTGCTGGTGGCCAAAGTTTGAGTCATGACTCACCTCAACTTTACTGGTTTTCCAAATATATCCCCTCTAATTCTGCTTCAGTCTCAATTCTATTTTTTTTTTTTTTAATCATTGCCCACAAATATTTTGTTTTGCAGGCTTTGCATTACATTTCTGGCATTCGATGTGTTCTTTGTTGTTATCTGCGTTGCAGTGGCAAGTGTCATTGGAATTGCTGTTTGCTGCTGTCTACCATGTATTATTGCAATATTGTATGCAGTGGCAGATCAGGTAGTTAAAGCTGTTTAATCTTTTATGGTGTAATTATGATTAGCTAGCATAAAACAAAATACTAGTCTATATCTATGTATGTCTCTTTGCCTTGGTTAAATCCTAAATTTACAGCTGGCTTTACAGGAATTAGGAGAGCCCAATGATATCACCACAAAGTAGCTGGCAATTTTGCATGTATTAATTCAGATATGAATGCTTATCTGTAGGATTAGAATTGAATATGAACCATATCATAGTATGCCTTTGATAAGGTTCTAACCGGAAAAAGGGGCTGATTTGTGTAAGCATCAAAGGAACAACAATATATTTATTGAATTAAAAGAAATTACAGCAAGAAAGGAAATAACAAATAGTGATTCGAGAGGGCTAAAACTCTCCTAAAGGTCTCCCTACTCAATAAAAGCCTCCTTTCTACCCTCCCTTCTACCTCTATTTATAAGGATTTCCTAACTAATTCCCCCCCACTTGCCCTTGTAACAGATTTCTGTTGCTGCCCCTCCTTCTAATTGCTTCTCAATCCTTCTTGTTTCTTCTAGCTTAGGTATACTTGATAGGTGGCCTATCAATACCCTGAGGTTCCAAATAAACCTTGTCCTCAAGGTTGAAACAAGGAATTGATGTTTAAGGGCTGCTACAGATTCCCAGGAGGCTTCAGAAGTTTGGTAGCCCCTTTTACCCAATTGGATTCTTCTCCCACCACTTATGGTACAATCGTTTTCCTTGCAGCCTTGGCATCATTGCATCAGAAAATAGCTTAAAGGGCTATCCCTTATCGATGCCATCAATTTCAGGTTCCCCTAAAATTACCAATTGATTGGGTTCCAGTATATTTTTGCCTTGGTGGCCAACTGTGTATTTCAACCCCACCGTCATGGACGTCGTAGGGAAGTGTTCTGCTTTCTTTTCTTCCCATTGATTTGGGGCTCGAAATAATTTTATGGCCTTTTGGGCTGAATTCTCCCTTCCAGCTTTTAAGTTGTTGCAATCTTCAATTATTTTGGCCATATTCATGATTTGGCCCAATCCCTGTGGACATAACAATTGGACTTCAGCCCTTTTGTCTTGTTTCAGCCCATTTATAAACATTCCCTCCAACACCCCCTCTGTGATATCCAGCACAGGTGCAGCCAAAGCTTCCAACGAGCGCCGTAACTCTACCACTGATCTCCCATGTATGCCCTGACCCATCGCCATTGTGACTCTGCCACAAGCTTTTCCTCTATCTTGTGTTCAGTGATTGGTTCGGAAGGGGCTTGTTGGAATCCGTTCTTCTGTAAGGCATCCGGATCCCTCTCCCTCTCCCTCAACCTCTCTACTCATCTCTGTTTTCGGATGGATGAAGGCTACCACAATTTTCTGGGTTGCCTCCACTGTCTGCATCATCTTGGCCATATTCCGTGTAAAGTGTTCCACAAAATTTTCCAATTTGGGAAGGCGCTGCATCTCCACTTTAAATTTCTTCATCTCCCTTTCCATGATTTCCTCTCTACTTTCTATGTTCATCTGGGCCAACAGATCGACGTGCTCTGATACCATTTGATAAGGTTCTGACTGGAAAAAGGGGCAGATTTGTGTAAGAATCATAGGAACAACAATATATTTTTTGACTTAAAAGAAATTACAGCAAGAAAGGAAATAACAAATAGTCATTCGAGATGGCTAAAACTCTCCTAAAGGTCTCCCTACTCACTCAATAAAAGCCTCCTTTCTACCCTCCCTTCTACCTCTATTTATAAGGATTTCCTAACTAATTTCGTCCTCACTTGTCCTTGTAACAGATTTCTGTTGCTGCCCCTCCTAGTTGCTTCTCAATCCTTCTTGTTTCTTCTAGCATAGGTACACTTGATAGGTGGCCTATCACCTTTAAACCTGAAAAGGCTAGCTACCATTAACAAGGTCTGTGTATGAGAAGAACCAAGAGATACACATCTAGATAGTCGGATTAAGTTTGAGAGGATGCTGAAAGTTATTACAAAGTGGTGTCTTTGAATTTAAAAGCAGTTTTTAGATAAAATAAAGAAACTAGAAAACAGATCTGTCGTTAAGTCCAGCTGGCTTGGCATTGTGTTGAGGATGCAGTTGGGTGGCCCCTCTGCACAGGTACCTGCTTCGGCTGATTGCTTATTGGCTGTTGACAAATCGCTTTGGAAGTGTGGAAGGAATTCCTCGTTTCGTTTTTCTTTTTTTATTTATCTTCGGATAAACCGTGAGACTTCATCCAACAAAGACCCGATCCCACTCGGCCTTGGATGTGTGTAAATCGTCTTAGCTGAGTTTGGCCATGGTAAGAAGACACTGATATTTCCTGTGGGCTTATATTTCAGCGCTAACTCCCTCAAAACATTTCTTTTTTCCTTTCCATGCTCCAGGGGGTGGGGTTAAAAGTAATTTGCATATAATGAGGAATTCCTACCAAGCAGCAACAAAGAGTAACTAATTTTTCTTTTTGAATGCCTCCATTCTATTGGTCAGGTAACTTGTTTTTGTTGGTTTTTTTTTTTTTTGAAAATATGACCTTCAGAATATAGTAAAAGGAAATGATCTCGTATAGCTTGCCTTAATAATTAAAGTATTGGTGTACAAAATTATCCTTTAAACTGTGAGCTATCTTTGACATTGAATCCTCTCATTGCCACTTTTTTCATGGAATTTGCCAAAGTTGCGTGTTTTCCTTTTTTTGCTCTGTCCAAATCAAAATGATAACTGATTTCTATCTTCTCAAGCTTAGAAATGGAAAAGCAGACCTACTATTTCTGTGTTAGCAGTACTATGTGACAGTGAGTTGCTTTGACCCCTTTCGTACTAACATTTTGCTTCAGAAATTTTCCCTTGTTTGGCCAGACCTCTGGTTCTGTGCCTTATGTTGCTTGAGGAAGATGATAATAGAAAGAAGACGGTTCGATTTTTGGGACTGTGACCAGAAATGTCTGTCCACAATAAGTGTGGAACTGATTATTAGCAACAAAAGTTGTTGGTTCAGATTTTGTGATTGATATGCAGAAGATCCCTTTGGGAGTTAGTAACTTTCCTTGTTTGTTACGTGAACCATACTGTGCCTATTCTCATGATTAGCATAGGAGTCATGCTTGGTTTTTGACGGTATCAATTGGTGCACATGCTTGAGTGACTTCTTACGATTTGATTTGAGTAGCTAGAGTTGATTTACTTCCTTGTATATAAGTGCAATTATTTGGCTGGAAATTTACTACGCTGTCCAGGGACATTTTTCATGTTCAACTTATTCAACATTATTAAACTTAATAGTCTAAAAAGAGTGACGGCTTGCTCATAGAGAATAGGAATCACTCATTGTGGCAATTGCTGGCTGTTTTGACCTTAAAATAAATGCTACTATTATGCTATGCAATTAATTATTGAAATCCATATTAAAGCCTGTTTGAGCCCCATTTTCTCAACAAAATGCATTTTGGAATAGTATTTTGATGGAGAATGTGTGGTTAAAAAATAAGGAAATGTTTTGGATTCGCGTGTAATATTATTTTATTGAAGACTCTGTGGTTGAAAATAAGTGAGAAAAATATATTTTTGAAATAATGTGGACCAAATAAGGGCTTAATTTTCTGGGTGTATAATGAAATATTGTTATGTTACAATTTACACCCCACCCCCCAATCTTTAAAAATATACTTTAAAACCAGAAAAAAGGTTGGCGGTATCAATTTACCTTGGAAGTCATCTGGAGAAAAGATAGATTCATCATTCATGCATTTACATTAGCTTTTTCCACCATCTGCTACTTTAGTACCTCACCAATTTTAGCTTCCTTTCACTGTCACTTACATTTAGATTTGCTCTCTATTCCTGTACCGTCATCCCCATTATCAGATTACATTGTACCACCTCCTCACCTTCATTGATCTTTATCCTCTCTAAAATAGAAAAGAGTAAATTTCTACAGATATGGCTTTCCACTAATTTGGGGTGAGTAATTGGAGAAGCAAGGTCAAGAATTACTGCTGGGTTATTCTATATAATTCGAGCGTGTATTTATGTTTTTCTCTTTCCTATTTTTTTTCTCAAACATTGGAAGTTAAGATCCTAGCTTCATTAATTTATGATTCAGTTATGTTAGTCAATATATTAGTGCGTGAGTTTGGTGGGCAGTTCTGTTTTTTTAATTCTTCCAGTGTCTCGATTCCTTAAAGTGTTAGCAGTTTCTGTCAGAACTATCATTTGTGTGGTTCTGCTTTATACTTCCATAGACTTGTTACGGTGTTATTCCTTGGGAAAGGATAAATAATTGAGAATTGATTATTGTTCATATCCTGTAGTTGAGTGTCTTAGTATCTTGGTATTTATTTCTTGATTTTGCATTTGCTTCTTTATGGTAACAGGAAGGAGCATCCAAGGAAGACATTGAGAGACTTCCTAGATACAAATTTTGTAGAATTGGTGATTTCGAGAAACAAAATGGTGAAATTCAAGAATCTTTTGGAGGAGTAATGACTGAATGCGATACTGACTCTCCCACGGAGCATGTTCTTCCTCTGGAAGATGCTGTATGTCTTGTGGATTGAAATTCCATATTTACTTTTTAATCTTTTCTTCTTTGTGCAATATATTTCGTACAACTGCAGATTGGTATGCAAAATGCCATAAATGGCGTCCAACTTATTTCCCTGGCATCAAGTTGGTCCCCAATCTTTCACTATAGTTGCACAGAATCAATACTCCAAATATGTGTTATGAAGGTAGGTCTTGCTTCTGAAGATGGACTCATGCCCTGAAATTTGAGGCGATATAAGTTTCCATTAGGGATTTGTGACAATTTGGAGAAAAAAGAGTGGTGGTTTGGTACTGAATTTGCATGTATAATGAAAGGTTGGAGACCAATTTGCTACCGAAACAAAGGTGACCACTGCTGCAAGTGTACCAATTGGTTTGGAGGATGAATTGATGTATCTGGATTTCTTTTACTTGCTAAATGATTTTACCTTTTGAACTTATTTGTGTTCGATTGCAGGAATGCTGCATTTGCCTTTGTGCCTACGATGATGGAAATGAATTGCGTGAACTACCTTGTCGTCATCATTTTCATTGTACCTGTATAGACAAGTGGCTGAGCATCAATGCTACCTGTCCTCTTTGCAAGCTCAATATACTGAGAAACGGCAGTCAGAGTGGTGCTGAAGATGTATAATCAAGTATGCATATGTGACGATCATTCAGGACCCTCAATCTATTTGCAAGTGCTAGAACTTCTGTTAGATCTTTAAATTCGTGATCAAAATTCCAGCACGTTCGCCTGCTTACAGCCAACGTATATGTGAATCGGGAACCAGGGGTAAGTTCTTGTTTATATTTCAAGTATCAATAAAACTGAATGTACAACTTTGGTTGACAGTTTTTTCCACACCCCTCACATGGGGGTGGGGCGCCTCACATGGGGGTGTGGCCCGCGCCCCACCCCAGAGGTGTGAAATAAACTGTCAACCAAGGCCGTAACTCTAGCATGGTTCTTCAAGTACAGAGAAGAGTTAACATTTTCACCAAACATCCTGATTTCTTGAAATTGTAACCGTGTCTGTACAACTATTTTGTTGCATTGAATATAACCTATATAAATATAAATTAATAGCCTCGGGACCATATGAATTCTAATTAAAAAGAGGTATTAATTAATCTATAAATTAATAGTTTATTAATTTATAGCGTGTTTGCAATTTAATAATTAACTAAAAATTTATTGTATTTTACTTATCTAAGTCAATTGAATGTGAATTAAATGTACATTAGAATTACTAAACAAATAAATTCATTGAATTTATGTACTTAATTAAATAATATTGATTGTAATTGTGTTTGTTGAATTTTATGCATTCTACGAATTATATTAATAATAAAAATCTATCATGATATATGAGATGCATAAACATTATGCTGAGTATAGTTAATAAGAGCATTTCACATGCACTCAAGAAGAATTGTAACAATGGATTTCTGAAAAAAATTACTAGAAAGTTATTCACACACTCGAATGATCTTCATAGTATTTTCGTCTTGACTTGGAAAAGGTGGTCATGCTAAGCGATACAAACCATCAACATTTTCAAACATGAATAAACTCGTTTATGAGTGATTTCTTCCATATCGATTGTGTGAATTTAGATAATCTCGAAGAAGTCCAGAGAGACTAGGAAAATATGAAACCCTGGAGAGATGTTATAATTCAACTTTTCTCAAGGTTGACTTGAAAAGTTGAAGTTAAGATATAATATAATGGTTCGTTTGATTGCAATGGTGGAAGATAGGTGGAAAGAAAATGAATTTTCTGAGAAAATAATTGACTAGAATTTATTTTCCAGAGAATTGTTAATTAAGTGTGTTTGATTGGTTTAATTTTTCACCCAAATTTTTTTTAAAATTTTGGATCTTTTTGTATTCGTTTGACTTTGTTTTACATGGAAATTATCCATTAAAGTGATAATTTTTTCCATAATTGATTATAAAATTTGTTTCCATTGTTAAAAAAAAAAAAAATTGTTTCCTAAAAAATCATTTTTTTAATCAAAGTTTAGTATTCGTTTGACTTTGTTTTATATAAAAATTGTTCATTAAAGTGAAATTTTTTTTTTT